GGGGGGGGGGGGGAAGAAACTTACCATGAACTCAACAAGAATGAGGTCCTGCCTACAGGCATGCAAATTTTCCCTAATGAGGAAGAATTAGGTGCAATAGATCAAAGGAATAGACTCTTAACTTTTGCTCATAGTTATTTTACTGAAAAGATACAGAAATGCAGTTTAGATGCATATTTATGCATCTACAATATTAGTTCCAAGCACCCCAAATTGTAGGAAACCCTGAATCCAGAACTTTGACAGCCTATGTTATAATTCTGAAATAAAGCTTTACACATAAGATTATATAAAAGTATCTTCTTCCACATTATACAAGTTCATAGAAGTTAATAAAAAATAGTTAAAAACAATTAAAGCTTACTAGAAAATTCATTTCTGTGTTATAAACACCGGTTTCAGAACTTACATTCCTTTTCCTTCGGATGATTACTTAAAAAGCCAGAACACCACACAAATGCCACGTTCCCACAAGGAAAGCTTTTGTATGATTTCTGTTTTATGAAATATGCACAAATAAATGCTCCAGGTAAACCATTTCACTTTAGAGTGGATTTATTTTTCCCCTCAAATATATAACATCACAGACAAAACAACATTAAATTAATTTAGATTAGGCTCCAAGTAGTATTATAAAGAAAGGGAGAGAGCATCTGGCTCCATAACAGCCTGCCCAGCATTGAGCCAACAGGGAGGTTTGCAAACAGTCCCGTCCTGGGACAGGGCTGCTACGAGCAAAGGTAAGGGATAGCAGAGCACAGTGGGTTGGTGGAGGAAGCATGCCACATATTTAAATTTAAAGCAGTATACACACCAGCCACAAAGATATTCCATAGTGAACAAATGACATTTGTGTGGCTGGTTGGCATTTTATCTTGTGGGGAAAAATTGCCTCTGTATGTGATTAACACATTATACATGCACTCAATGTGACATTCTAGAGGCCTCACAGCATGTCCTATGTTAGGATCATGTGTGCAAATGACAGTAAGCATCTCATAGCTAGCTGACAACCTATTCCCTGGGCGGAAGGACGTCGGGATGGGGGGAAGAAGAGGGGAGTCAAAAGAATACAAATCTAGTTTCTCTTTAATGATACTACACTTTAATGTATATTTATAACAATCAACAAGGTAAGTCTAATATGAGCATTTATACTTCACTGTAATTAGTATAAACAGTCTTATATGGAAACCATAGCCACCTTTCCAGAGCCATAACTACTGTAAAATTTTAACTCTTATTTCAAGCTTCCATAAGATTTTTGTGTATGTTGTTCTCTCATTAACAGAAATGCACATTTTTTATAAATGAAGCAAAACGTTCAAAATGCCATTTCATTTGGAATTAATCAAGCACAAAATAATGCTGCATAAGCTGCTATCATTTTTGTTGCCCATATTTCCCAGTCTCAAGAGTTTTGAGAGAATTTTTTTCCTCTGTACAAGTGTTCATAATTTCTACTTCGCAAACATTTCAACATACCTCAAACAAAAGTTTCCTGAAACTATAAAATGAAAAACAACCAAAACTCCTCAAAGTACCATACTTACAGGTTCATATAACAAGTTAACATATTCCAGGAATTGTTGAACCAAAGGGTCAGAGAGCTCGTTGAACCGGTATCGGAAGAGGTCCATTTCTTGTTGAATGAACCAACGTCTGAGATCCTCACTGTGGTGGAAGTCAAAAGGAAAAAAAATAAATAAAATAAATAAATAAATAAAATCATTCATTATTCCTTGCACACTTAAAACTATATTTAAGGCCAAATGTGATCACAAGTCCCAGCATGGTGCTTCTAGTGTAAGATGCACTTAATTTCACCTACAAGAAAGAATAATGCTCTGCAGGTGCCAAGATTATTCTCCCTTAAAAACCAAAAGACATATGGGGGGGGGAGGCCAGGGGGGAGTTTTTTTCTGGGGTGGAGTTTAGATAACAAGGATTATTTAATGCTATATTATGGATATTTATACTTAGAAAAAGAAAATTCCTCTGCTTCAGTATTCAAAAGACTGAATTCACCGTTTTATCTGATACAACAGCTCTTCGGAAAAGTAGATTTCATACATAATTTACTGGAGAAAAAATTTTTGCAAAAACAGTTTTCAAGACTTCTAAAATAAATTCTCACATTTAATTTGGTTCCAAGGGGACAACAGTCGCCACAGACTCTATAAAGCACACACATGCTTAGTTTTTCAGACATCAGTTTCCACCCTCCCCACTCCTCCAGGTCCTCCTTCCCCAGCCCCCTACTTACCCAAACAGAGTCCAGGTCCAGCTCCCTGCCGTGTCAAGCAGGGACTGCCCAAATCGCCAAAGCTCTCTTAATCTTTTCCAAATCAATTCAGACCTTCTTACTGGTCTCCAGATTCGATTCAGATTTGGAGATTCGACCACCGAATCTCCTCCAAATCGAATCAGCACCCAAAACTTCGCACAGCCCTATTAAGTACCATCTGCGACAGTTCAACACTGAATTACCAAAGAGTCTCTGCTAGGTCTTTCAGAGGCAAAGTTCTGCTTTGCCCTAGACAAGCACAGTTGTTATGGCAATGCACATACCAAATTATTTTATTTGCAGACAAGGCTTTAGATCTAATTTGCAAAGCCATTAAAGGTTGTCATGCAGAGTTGTCAAGACACAGCAAAACTGAGCACAGGTGTAACATGCTCACAGCAACCATGAAGGGGGGGGCAATTACCATATGGAGCCCATGTATAATCTTGATTCAGCTTCAGAAAAAAAAAGATTACAGTAACCAAGACTGAAGGTGACAAAATATGAATTACTGTAGCAGGTCCTCATACAGGAAAAGACAACATTTTAAGCTTAGATAAGTAACATGATATTTCTTTAGGAAGAATCAGAACAGATTTCTGTCAATTTTGATAAATGGAGGATGTTTCCTGCATAGAAAGTAAAGAAAACATGCAGATTAGCCCTTCAAAAGTGTGTCCCCTCTTTGACCTGTATGATTTTCATCTTGCCCTAGTTGTTTTGTTGGCTGTTCTTCACTGAAGAGCTCATTTCATGTAGGCATGCTGACATGTTAGTAGAGACAGTAATGCTAGGAGTTGAGAATCAATACATTATTGTTAGCCAAGTCCATGACTTTATTTTTTTCCAATAGTCTAATGTAGAAGCTGAAAAGAAGGGGGGAAAGTATGGATGCCCGTGTTATCCCACCAGCAAAGGCCTACTGTAGGGTTGTTACTAATACTAACGTGAATTAGTGTAGAGAGGAACTGGAGTCACTGAAGCATTACACTGTCTATTCCTCCCGTCTCTTAGCACCTTTTGGTCTTACTACAATCACAAACTGCAAAATTACATGCTGAAGCTCAAGAAACTGGGGGGGGTGGGGAAAAAGTCAACCTGTTCAGCAGTCTGATAAGAGATCTGTGTCCATGGCCATGAAAGTCATTTTTAATGATGCTAGAAGAATCTCTAGGCTGTGCCTTAGTCTGAATTCTAACTATGATTTTCATAATGTTAGCTGACATAATATGGTGGGAACATGGTAATTTCATCTCAGTTATTTTGCCCAGGAATGGGAGTTTAGAAACATGACACTAGTCAAAAAAAGGTCTTCAGGGTTAAATGCTGGCTTCTAAAGGACCGGGCAAATCACTGCCTTGTTTCAGGGCATTTGGTTAAATTGCTTTTCAGAAATCTGCAATGACTTCCCTGAGCAATGGGCATAACTGCTCTTCGTTGGCTTAAGCACACAGAACAGGCAAAACTGTTTAACACGTTGACTAATTTTTTTACTTCCTTGAGTTTTAGCACATATAAGCAGGTCAGACAGGATGAGGTGCCAGTGGGCCAGATCATACAATCAATATGGAGGGTAATTTTCTTTCCCAATTAACTGCATGTGTGTTCAATCAATCTCATCAACAACAGCCTCCATGAACTTTCTATAGCTGTCAATATTTAGGTCTGAGCTATGCACTTGGTTTAATTAGCTAGCTCAGTATATAAGAATAGCTCTCCTATGATTCTACAATGTTGACGGAAGAAGTAGAAGATCCTTTTGCCTCCTTTAAGTGGTACAATCCTGCAAGTAGTTTCCCGACTGATGGGGAAGTAAGAATGTTTCTTCATGTTCTGGTGTTAGGATGATCTTGATCAGAGGAAAGTAAGCATCCTGAGACAAACGCAACACAGTAGCAGATAGCATACTAACTCAGCATCATGCCATTGTAGCCGAGTGTTTAGTTCTCCAAAGGAGAATCAAAAACAGAAGGTTCAGGAATCTTTGGGGTAGAAAGCATATGCTTCTTCCTTTGTACCAAAACACTAAAGGGCATTTTGTCTACCTAGCTGAATTAGTGATGAAATAAATCCACTTGTAATCCCTACATTGATTTCAGTCTAAAATCTTTTTCATAAGGAAAAAGTTCTTAGAACTCATCATACCCTGCAGAAAGTATTAGAAAAAAAAGCAGCAGCATTTTTTGTGAGCCCATACGCTAAAACTCAGTCCATTCAAGAAGTACCAATTTATGAAAGCATCTGCAGTTTATTAAACAGAGCCACCAATAACGGACCTTTGTAGCCATTAAGTCTAAACCATCATAAACAGTCATATATTAAATATCAGAAACTAATAATTGAATACTTAATCTGTGCTATAATAGTGTCTTATGGACCAGAATCCCAGTATGCTAAATACTATACAAAAGGGGGGTTTCCAATCTAGAGTATAGTACAAAAAGTGAAAACAGAGACATGAGCACAAACAAAGCAATAGTGGGTCGGCATGATCAACAGTGGTCTCCGCACACCAAATACATAACTCTTCCCATGTGATTTTTCAGCCACCATAGCAAAAAGAAGCTTTCCAGATATTTACAGAGAACTTTTACATGTGACGGAACAGCACATATGAAAGTGCAAAGACACTTATTTAAAATATTTTTTAATGGAGAATAAAGGCTGATGTCATTAGAGCAGAGCAGAGCAAAGCAGAAAGCCAACATTTTGAAAGCATATGGATGCTAACAGGGGTAGCATCGAGTAGATGGTCTTTTCTTTCAAATCCCTTTCCACATACTTTGCATTTGATACAGTAAAAGAGAGTGACAAAGGAAATCAACAAGCTAGGAAATCTCTCTTTAAAGCCATGTTTTGAATTGATGTAAGCAAGACAAAAGTTCATCTGTCAAGGACCAAGAAAGAAAATGTGGCTGTAATAGAGATACAAAATAAGAGCTTAGATAAGAGTTTTCATTACGCCAATAGAGACAAAAGTTTGTGTCTTACATAGTAACAACCAACCCGATTTAAAAGCAGCCTGGATTTAAGCACCTAGGAGAGTGAATCAGAGATCACAACCAGGCTGCCGGTCAGGGTGAGAAAAGCAGTGATGTTATAGGATTCATGTAGATTCCAACTATGGATGGTCAAATCTAGCTACAGAGACACCAGAAAATAATAGACCATTCGTATTACAAAGCAAGAATGAAGCAGAGAAGAGCGATAACTGCATATATACACCTCTGGGTGGCACTGTTTGCCCATAAACCAAAATTAAAAGACCACTATAGAAACATTTTAGCTACCAGCACATTCTTATTGTAGATTACTTGACACTAAAATTACAGATTTGTGATCACACTTTTGTCTAAACCCTTTTCAGCAAAATGAACACACAACAAACATAAAGCAATAGTTATTCATAGTTTCATAGTTTCTAGGGTCGGAAGGGACCTGAGCAGATCATCTAGTCCGAC